GAATGCCTTTGGTATCATGTTTACAAATATCTAGTTTAATTCCTTCAGCGAGTTCGTTGTTTACAAGTTGCTTGATTGCGTCATCGTTTCTGTGACCAAGGCGTCTATGCCAAAGTTGAACACAGTTCTCATTTTTGCACTGAAATGCTACATGAGCTGATGGTTCATTATTCCTGTCTATTGGTTTAATTTGGTAAAGATTGTTAGTTGCATGACATTCTAGAATAATCTGATCATGCATTTATTTCCTTCAGTTATAAAACGGAAACCGAAAGTCCTTTTTTCCGTTATTTTCCTTAATTGAGATTAAATTCGTTTCTTAATTCAGGATGCATATAAAAACTTTTTTCCGATGCCTTTGAATCTGATGAGAACTTCATTCGTTATTTTTTGTTTTTAGCATTTAATGTTTTGCCGAAAAACGGACAGTTTCCTATCGCCGTTGATGAAAGATTAATACATTTCCCATTCGCAGTAGCATTTGGCTGTTATAATATCTGACGGATTTATGGGGTTACATTCCGTGTAAAATATTTCTTATTATTTACCAGGTGTTTTAATATGAAACTACTTGCTCCGCTGTCAAAATAAAATCTCGGATGATGAGTACGCTGAAGTTAATAGACAGAGCTAGAGAGTCACGCTGTCACATCTGGATTCCATTTTTCCATGTCATGTGTTTTAATTTTTGTTGTTGAAACTAAAACTAAATCAAATCAGAATTAAAAAGCCATGTTACATAATTACTAAATTATAGTACACACATTCAAACGACGAGTGTTTTCGAAGAATTTATTTTATGAAATTTAGAAAAGCTTTCTTTATATCCAGTTTAAATACAGGCTTTCTAAGTAACAGTTATTCATGCAAAATGCGGTTCTTTAGTTTAAAAATAATAACATTCTTCTTTAACTTCGGATCTGCTCAATTCGTAATACATCAAACGGAGACACTTAAATTGCATTTTTAGGAAGTTCAACCTTATTTGCTTTGTTTTTTCACAGTTTTTAAGATTTTGTTTTTGTTTTCCCACTTTCAGCTCAATTCCAAAGTATTTTCATTACTAAAATGATCAAAGCTATATATTAAACGCAACAGTGATAATAGGAAGATTTAAAACACGTTTAGCTGCCTGGGATATAAAAAAGGCTGGGAATAAAAAAAATAAAAGCTGTTGAAAAGATTTCCCTTTTAGTTTATTTCATTATTTCATTTTAAAAAGAGGTTTGGGTAATCCCTCATGTCTCATACCGATCTCTTCAAATTTAAATTGAAAATAAAGTGAGACTTTAGTGTTCATAAAATTCCCTTTTACTTATGTATTATTTATTTTCTGGCATAGTAGATGCCTTATACCCATGAAATACTTTAGTATCATTATTGTTATACATGTTAATATAATAATTTATAGTTCAGACGGATTGGACTAGGTGAAATGAATTGAACCTCGCTTTTGCTTTGTTGAAATAATATCTTGAAGTGCTTGAAATTTATATTTTAATATTCCTGTTTTTATGTCTATAATGGAAGTTAATTTTATTTTTTGAATTATGCTTTGCATATTCCGAAACAATATTGTACATTGCATAGAATTTGTATAAGTTATTATTTACCTCACTCATGGAGTTTGTATGTTCAAAGTTGTATCGCCGATTTTGAAGATATATCCTAATACACTATTAAGCTCAAATTTTACACAAGCAGTGGTTATTTATGATAACATAATGTGGTGAAGGTGTCTGTATGGTGAAGGATTTTGTCCACTTTCGATTAAGATATTTTTTTAATTAATATTGAAAGGGTTTTTTGCTCATGGCTTTATTTAACAATCTAAAATACTGGCGCAAAATAAATATAAACAAAAATCTCAGAATGTTACTCTTTAGGGTGTCAGATAGAGTGGAGAAAATTCCTTTTAATGAAATTTATATGAAATTATTCGTTAAAGCAATCGATGTTATTTAACCTAATTTCTGATTTTTTGGAGAATTTTTAATTATTTCACATCCATTACCTTAAAATTTTAACATCTAAAATATATCTAAATAAAATGTGCTGCGCCTAATTTTAATTGTGTGGCTATAATCGGTTAAAAAATGGCTATGTGACTGAGATTGACCAATGAAATTCAAGTGAGGCGTGGTAGCATCAGAAAATGACTTTTAATTAATAATTAGGGTTAGGAGTTAAATAAGAAAGTTATTATCAATAAAGAGGGCGCTAATTTGGATGATGCGTGAACGAAGTTCAGGTTTCTTTGGGCGCCTGGGTAAGAAACCCTCATCCCAGTCGAATACGTAGATCTGTTTCCGAACATTGTCGATCGTGAAGTGAAAAATAGAAGTGATAAGCTTTGAAGTAAGGCATAAGTTTCCTTTTCATGTATGTTGTAGAAGAGTCTTGAGATACAATTCGAGTCTGGGAAGTAGAATAAGCAATATGGCAACGGGAACGTCAAGTTAGGATGATTACTATCGGAGAGTGTCGATCGGAGAAACGCGCATGCAGCCGTGGTGGCATGAAGGCTGAATGAGTTGAAGTCAGGAAAGCATCGAAGTTGACCAGGAGAAGAGCGTTGATTGGGGTGCGTTTTAATTTGGATGAGGAGATTAGTGAACGTGAAGATGAGGGGGAAAAAAGAGAGAATGCTGATGAAAACTTGTAAAAGTCTGTATGGTAATGCAGGAAAGACATCAGAGTAATGCGGAGGTGATTCTCAAGCATGTGCGACATAAAAGAAAACTTATGCGACGGTCTGTACTGTGTTCTTGTCACGATGTATGTAACGCGAAGAAATACCAAATTTATGACACCAAATGTTGTGATCATTCGAAATTCTCTTGGAGACTGTTTGTTTAATGAAGCAAGGAAGTAAAAGGGTGCATGAACATCGATATTCCAGATTTAGAGGTTTAGAATATCAGGCTCCGTCTTGTGCGACGAAAATTTAGAGCTTTTGGCAGACTCTCTTGCTGTTATATCGTAACGCCAGCTCCGCCAGATATTATTGCGGCTTTAGCCATTTTGCTAGCCATATTAATTGTGCGCCACTAATTATTTGAGTCAGCTTAAATGGACCACTTTGCGTAGTCTCCTATTACGTTACTTGAATTTAAACTTCAACTTATTTTAAATATCCTGATATTGCGGAGTTTTTGTTTGTAAGCACAAAGATGTATGTTAAATTTTGAAAAATTAATAAAAGGGTTATTTTAATCTTTTTAGGACTTTATCATCTTCACTCATTAAACAATTATAATTCAGACTGAAACCATTATTCGCTTGTCAGTCTAAAACTTTTACTCAATTAAACACCTGTAAAGTAGAAATTAGTATGTACAATGATGAACATAGCCTGCATATAAGTACACACACTAGCCGGGTACTTAACAGCTCATATTGCCTTTGCAAATTCCATTTTCAAATCATTATTAAAGGATATGGTGCGCAATTGTGCTTCTAATAAACAAAAAAAATTTCTTGGTAATGAATAAATATATGAAAAGTTTAAAAACATTCGTTATTCTAATAACACATTTTATTATCATATTATATAATCAAATAAAATGAGTTCACGGAAAGCATCAGTAAAATATTTTTACATTTTATTATTTCTTTTCAAATTATTTTATTCACTTTTCCAGTTCCTCCAAACCTCATAAAACAAGTGCATTTTAATAAATCACCCATTGATTTGAATTGCAAACAAATGGCCTCTCACTACCAAGAATTTAATTATTTTTTTGGTCGTAAGCTTTTTATTCACTTGCGAAAGAATTTCTAAGCATTCGCGATAAAATGGATATATATTCAATGATAATATGAAGTCATTCGCTATCAAGAAAATAACAACTAAAGGTGGATTACTAAACAAAAGGGGATCATTGAATTTTCCATTAGCAAAACTGCAATAACTGTACGAAAAAAGGTAGTTTCCCTATTGTATCCGTAGTAGTATTTGCAGTAAATACAACAGCGAAAGAATTTCATTCATTTCTTTATCTTATTTCCACTTTTACCGCAGTATCATTTCCAGGCACTTTACTCAATTAACCATGATGTGTAAAGATAGTAATTAAATAAATTGATATCTAATACGCATTATGAAGCAGATTTGATTACACAAAATGAGTTACAGTGCCTAAATTTATAGACCTGATATGTAACTTAATACGGTATCATTCAGAATAACTAATAATAATAATTCATATTTTAAGTCCAAATGGGCGTTAGCCCAGAAAGGCTATTGGTCTCAAAACGGCATTCTACGTAGAATCGATTTAAATGACAGAATCACTTTTTAAATTTCTGTCACCAAATATTATCGCTCTGTATTACATTTAAAGAAATTAAATAATGAAGAACGTGCATAAATAAATGCATGTTTCTCGCACTGTGAAAAATCAACGGTGTGAAACTGTGAAACTAGAAAGAAACTGTGAAAAAGTAACAATACCTCCACCCGAACATGGGCAAGGGCCGACTTTGGAATTTGTTTTATTGCCTATTTCATATTTTCTAAAACTTCAAAGAATTTTTGATTAAGAAATTGAACAATTTCAAAGCGAGCAGTGGCAACACTATAGGAAATAAAAAGCTTTTATCTCCAGCTCGCGAGACCGTCTAACGGGAATTCTAAAGATATGCTACTTTCAAGTATTTTTAACCCAATGTGGTGTTAGTCCACATGCTTTCGACAGGTATATGTATCTGCAAATGAGAAAGATGTCCGTTTGGGCTTAATATAAAATCTGAAGCTTTCAGATTTCTTATTGTATTGTGTCTTGAAAATTTATTTCAGTAATTATGAATTTAATAGTAAAAATTTAAAAACCTGCTTAACCTGCTTAATATCAAAACCAATATAATACTATAATCACATCGCTATAATCTACAATGTAAGCAGTTGCTAATCCTTTATTTGTACACAAGTACAAAAATACAAATAAACAACAATAAGTGAGAAATATGTTACCTGAGAATTTACAAGACATTCTTACCCGATTAGTTTATGTTCAGGAGCTATTCGACATCTGACAGAACGGCTGGTCTTACATTCTCCTGTCTCGTTATCAGGCGGGAGAAGGTTGACATATGGCGGTTCCTTTAAAAATGTAATTTTAAGATTGAATTTTTCAGGGACTCCAGGAGGCGGAACGGGACTGTTTCCAGGCCAGACGATGTCTTTAATATCCAGTTTGTTATCCTCCCACAGACCAATCTAATAACACAAGTGAAATAAATTATTAAAATAGCGGTACTTCTGAAATGTTGATGTCAGAATGCTATATTTTATTGCCAAATAAAATATAGTTTAGAGTAAACTACTATTTATCATATGGGTACTACGAAATATACGTTTAACAAAACTTTTGCGGAAATTTATTGCGGTAAAGTATTTTAATTTTTTAAACCTTTATATTTACTTAAACGATAGCGACTGAATTTAATGTAGATCCTTAAGAGATTTACTTTAAATATGAAAATTCTATATCTTAAAAGTTTAGTATATTAAAAACTAATATTTTTCATCTGCTTTTTTATATTAAGGAAAAAGAATAGTGATGGCGGAATGCTAAATTTCACTGAACTTCACTGTTCATGTCTCTACAGTGGCGCCTGAACTAAAAGGGTGTTGGATGATAAACCTACTCACCTAGGATTTGGCGATTGGGTCTCCTAAAAAAACCCAGTCGCCTTTTAAAAGGGGGAGCATATAAGGTATTTCTCCCGCCTTCCTAGCGTGCCTTCGTGGTGTAGGGGTTTTGAACGCTGGGCGCGTATTCCAGAGGTCAGCGGTTCGATTCCCGGCGAAGGCGTTGCTAATTTTTCATCTTGCCTGCTTCCAAAAATACCTAATGTCTTTACAACTGTACAGCAGTCAGTAGTATGTACACTGCGAAAAAAATATAGACAGTTCTACCCAAAAAAATAATAGACAGTTCTATATCTCCTGTTCTACTGGGCCAATTGTCGAAATTCAAATTGCGTTTTTCATGTCTCGAAAGCGCAACTTAGGATTTATATCAGATTTATATAGAGCATCATTCTACTAGCATAGGTATTTTGAGAAAAAAACGGAATTTTTCTGAAATGACATGCCAATGTTTCTTCCATATATAGATTCTAAGACTCAAATTATGCCTAAATATTAAAATTTGTAAAACTCGGTGAGAAAGTTACGGAGCAATTCACAAATTTATCTTAGCATATTTTTTCAGTTTTCGCCAAGAATAATTTACCTGGCGAAATAATTTTAACAACGTGCATAAGCCGCATTTTTCGTTATTATCACTTTAAAAAAAAAAAAAAAAAAAAAAAAAAAAGATGCCAAATTTCAAAACGCTCCATATATAAATTCACGTGCATCTAAGAAAACTTTGAATAAAAAACTCAAATATTTTGCAGGTGGGCCAAGAAATGTATCTCTTTTAAGATGATGTTAGAAATTTTATAGGTTATAATAAAAAATTTTGCAAAAAGTTTTCAAAAAGTATCTAAAAATATAAATTTAAAAACTAAATCATAAAAAGTGCGCGAATTATATTTGGATTAAGCCTAAATTTCGAAATTAAGATTAAGGATGTAAAATTTTGAGAGCTAATTTTTTAAAAATTATTCGCGCGATTTTTACAAAATTGGCAGTTTGGCATAATTTGAGATGTAGAATCAAAATATGGAAAAATTGGCATGTTATTTCAGAAAAAGTCAGATTTTCTGTCAAAATACCTATATTAGAATAATGTTATATATAAATATAATACATATCTCAAGTCGCACTTTCGAGACATGAAAAACTCTAGTTGAATTTCTCCAATCGGCTGAGTAGAACGGGAGGTATAGAACTGTCCCATGTGAGAAAAAATATTGATTCCGGAACAAAAGTCTGACTCATATGTGAATTTTAATTTCGACTGATTCCCCTTTTATATTTGGTTCAAGTTTAATCGTTTTCTATGCGAATTCATTAAGAGCAGTGCTTTTAATTTTCACAGAAAAATTTTTAAGAGAAATTTGAAATTTTCATTGCTTATTCATGTATACCACGAAATCCACATATAAATACATGAAGTTATTTATCGAAGAAAATACGTAGATTTTATTTTCTCCTATATATGCTTAACAGGAAAAACACAAAACATAGTACTAGCTTTTATCTAAGTTTATACTGTGGGAGAAAAATGAACGTGTAAAAGCTGAGTGTAACTTTACAATTAATTGAAGATTTAATGCCATTCCTATAGGTATGTTTTGTAAATAAAATGAGGGCAAGATGTCATAAACTAACAATATTTCTTATTTTTCATTGTGTAATATTGCAAGGAATAATTCCCAAAACATCGATCATTAAGTAGTTACTTACGGCACATCGCCATGAATTTCTTTAAAATCTTTCAATTTAAAAGAAGTTTTCAATAAAATTTCGGAAAGCTGAAAGGGAATTGGTTTGAAAGTTTCAAACAGTCGTCTGACAGACTTCAAAAAGACATCCCTCGCCTTTGGCAAATAAACCTCGCATATTTTGCCTCAATCAGTTCCCCTTATTGATCTTACCTACTCTCTAATTATAAGCAAACACGCACTCTTGAGACGCTTCAAGGAGCTAAATGCTTGTCCAATCAATAAGAAATCTGAAAGCAGCGGATTTCATTTTACAAGCATTTGTCAGTTACATGAAATTGTATTTCGAATAACTGAACTATTTAGTTTATTTACATACAATTTCAAGTATATATTTATCAAGATCTTTATGAGCATGGACTGGGAGCTTTATCTCCTAAAGTAATCAAAATCAGAACAAGAAGAGTTAGGAAGGGGGGAGGAACTTTGCAAAAGGTAGGCGAAACTAGGTATTGTGCATTGAATTAAATTTCATCAGAAATTTCAGTTTAAATTTTATCTGAGAACTAGCTTTTGATTTAATTATCTAATAAATAGTTTCATAGTCCTTCTGATAGTTATATATAGACGGTAGTTATAATTAAAGTTACCCAATTTAGAACTACGAAGATCTCGCTGTGGTAGACCTATTTCGTAGAAACTTAATATAGTATATGTTATATGGACTATGAGAAAAAGAAATAATGCAATTAAAGTTAATAGCTTAAATTACTACCGACAAATGCCGATTTTTGCAATGTAGAAAAGACGATATGCAACTTTGGGGGCGCTTTATAAAGCTAGTAGTCAATGTCGTAAAATCCTTCTTCACCATGCCTTTAAAGAAGAAACATCCAGTTTTACTGATCAATGTTGTATTATCGGAAAATTAGTAATTTTTCTACTGCAGTGCGAAAATATCGACGTTTCAAAGGCTTACAAAAATTTCTCATGTCCAGTCAGGATCTGAAAAGAATAATTACTAAATTTGAGGAGTTTGTTAAATTGTGTGTACGGCGAGGAAGAAAACGGAAACAGATTTCCAGTGAAATTGTGGCAACTAACCCAATGGACCAGCTGTAACAATAATTCAAGCATCTAACCAAGTGAGTCAGCTGTTCCGTCGATGGCGAAAAGAGAGTGAAATTGTGGAATAAATCATTCTTGTCAAGAGTAAAAGAGCATTAGATACCCAATATTTCTCAATGAGTGCTCGAGCGGTGTTACGTGATTTGTCGACAGTACAAAAGTTCTGCAATTCATTGTAAAATGACATTCATGTAAAATTAAAGCTGCGCAAGAGCTGCATCCTGCAGACCGAGACAAACTCATTGATATTGCTAGCCATCTTTTGGCCAGAATAGCTGTTGACAATGCATGGGCCTTGAACGTTTTTAGTAAGACGAGTCACATATAACCTTAGACAGAGCAGTTAATGCTCAAAACTGTCGCATATGGGGGTACTGCAAGTCCTGATACTGTGCATCAATTCTCTCTGTATCCTGATTACATTACTGTATTGTGTGGTTTTCCTGCTGATTTCATTCTTCTCCCTTTTTCTCAGAGGATAACATTCCTCAAAGCTCTCAAAGGTGTTCTGTCATGGATGTCCGTTACTGCGAACCTCTTCAGCAGCAAGTCATTCCAGGTCTTAGAGACTACTTTCTTTATGCAAGAGGGTGCACCACCTCCCATTGTCGGAATTTTTTCCCCTTTTAGAGATGACTGTGTAATTTCGAGAAGTTTTCTGACTGCCTGAGCTCTTTATTTTCGGACTTAAGTCTCTGTGACTTCTGGTTATGGGATTCCTGAAACATCGTGTCGATGGGGTAAGCATATAGATTATGCCTGAACTGAAAGCAAGCATAAGATGTCATGTTGTTGCAATTGATAGAGAAACTGTTTTTGAACACGCTATAACATGCTTTTAACATGTGATTAACGCAAATGAAATGCACATTGAGCAAATGCTGGGATTAAATGAAGTTTTGTGTTTCCAATTTATATATTTTGTTCTTAATGCGTCCCTTTTCACCTGGTGAGCAAAATTTGAACTTTTATTTTTATTTATATACTGTATTCCTTTCTTCGGGGTATATATAACGTATATACCAAGATTCAATGAAATAGTTCCATCAAAACGGGCTCTACTTAGATATAAACAGGGTAGCATCAATTATAACTACAGTTATTTTAGCTAAGAAAGAACACGCAGACAAGCACCAGGTCTAATCTAAAAACAATTAATTTAATCTTTCAAGAACAAAGTATAAAGGATATGCTGTCCAACAGAACAACGTTAAAAATTGTATAAAGCAGCTAACTTTTTTAATTAGAAATACAAGTATTTTTAATTAATTTCATTTGGTGGTCAGGATTTATATCTTACCTGTTCTTCCTGAAATAAACTTCGAAATTTGCTATTCAGTCAACAGATTTTTCTAGAGTAAAAGCTTATTACCAGTCCTTCTTTCTGTATCTATTCAAAGAACATTATATCTATCTCTAGTAAATCTTCGAGAAACTAAATGTGACATTTTTAAGCAGCAGCGCTATTGTTCATCTTAACATTTCGTCGAATTTGATTAGAAGATCACGTTGTCCTAATACAATACAATACAATCTTAATGTAAATAACTCACTACAGGTAAAAAGTTGTTACCATGTTGCTGGTGTTGTTTCAAATGGCCGGTCGCATGCAACTTAAAGCCTTCATCTGAAAGTGACAATAACTTTCGAACATTTAGCGCTATCATCATCGAGAACGTTGCCCAAGGTATTTCCCAGTGACTACTATGAATGTGACTACTGTGAATAACACAAGTTACTACTATAAATGTG